GGATTATGAACTATAGCACAAGGTAGCTGTCCCAAACCCACACGTTCCTGTTGAAATAAATCACGTAAATCTATTTCTGTTGTTGTCGTATTTCTTTCTTGCAACCATACGCTTGTCTATGACATATTGAAATGACGTGATTTAACATTGTCTTAGATTCTAACACCTTAGATTCTAACACCGGGATTAACCTTCAGAGAGGTTTTACTAATTTAGTAATTCCCCCTTTTGCCTGTAAGGGGTCTAGAGCCTTATTCGGCATCCTTCCTAGAGATGGTGTCTTGATAATATCACCCAGACTGCTATGCTGTGAACAAATTAATAAGTGTAGATAGGCTCGTCTATCGCCCGATCAGGGCAACTTCCATGTTTATTGAATAGGAATTACAGATTTATCCATTCTTTCCTGTTTAGTATATGGTTTGCCGGTTCCTTTCTGCCATGGCCTTAGCTTTCTGAACTTTTAAGCGGTCTGACTGATCAGTGGTTGGGAATTTTCTTTATGGTGGTGCAGGGTTAGAACTTTTCTTGTTCCTGCATCCATACTGGTAGTAAGGAACCCAGACTCTTTGGTAGCGCTCAGAAAGTCTGATGTTGACAAAAGTCACAAAATATACATTACTAGCAGTAGAGCCCGGCGTTACCCGGGGATGTATATAAGAGATAGATCAAGTATCGACCATCATAAAGACTGAAAAAAAAATTGACAAAGATTATTGTTTAAGTCTGACGTACATGCATGTCTTAATTAGTTTTTTGTTTTGTTTTGTTTTTTTTGTTTTTTTATGAAACTCAAACAAAAACATTGTTTTCAATCGTTATGAGTCTACCGATTGAATAGAATTTTATTATAAACAATTGTCTTGTAAATGGAATTTTTAAAGCATTCTGAATGTAAAAATAAAGAAAAAAAGTGTGCAAGACAATAAGAAACACTACCTGCCAAAAAAAAAAGTGAAGTTTTGTTGAAATCGGTTGAAAAATGTAGGAAATCTGATCCCATATATAAACGAACACACACACACACACACACAAACAACCTGGGTTTTATAATAAGTATAACTCGATATGAGTTATCCCCCTTTCATTCTCATGATGCCTCTTAATCGTGTTTTCAAATTGATTTCGTGCAAAAACAATTGTGTTTTTCCAATTTTTTTGGCACTGTCAGAACCACCGCAAGGTAATTTACGTAGTCCTGTGAAGTTTTGTTGAAATCGGTTGAAAAATGTAGGAAATCCGATCCAATATATAAACGTACACACACACACACACACACACACACACACGCACACACACACACACACACAATCTGCGTTTTATAATAAGTAAGATTTACATTATTCAGAGTATTGTCCTCATCTTTGTCGCCATATTTATTACAACATTTCGGTCGTTGTACGCTCCGGCCTTCTTCAGGTGGTTGAAATGTTGAACTGAACCCTTTATTTCGCTCACTGGGGTAGACTGTTTTAGTTCCACGTGTCATGTTTAATGGATGTCAGTTATCAGTTATCTCCTGTTACTTCCCCTCTCCAATTTCTCCACCGCCTTGACCAGGTATTGAACACTTTTAGCCTTGTTCACCTGAAAACAAAATCTTGTTCTTGTATTGGTTTATTTCCTTTTTAATGGTTTCTTTTTCTCATAAACTCACACACTAAGTAACTTCCTTGCATCTTAGTGACTTTATTGCTTTGCTAGGGGTGTAAGGATTTAAATTAAAGATAAAATATTTTGATTTATTCCGGGATTCATCGTGGATAACTAAAACGGTGTATTATGGGTTACTGTATTTAAAAAAAAAATATGATTTGTATAGGATGTGCTTCTTTTTACCTTATCTGTTCGGCAAACAAGTGCCCATTTGTTTTAGTGTAAGGACTGACGTCAAAAGGGGTCGTTTGTGTCATGGTTAAAGCAATGAATTGGAGGTCGGGAAGGGATCGGGTATCTAGTTGTAGGTCAATGATGTCTGTTTATTTTAATTTGCAGAAAGAGGCGACGTATATTTCATATCTCGTTAACCCAAACGTATAATTTTGAAAGACAGGGCGACTGAATTCGTGGAGACATGTTCAAGTTAGTTCCACAGAAAGGGTTGTAATAAGTACACCATTTTTCTTATATTACTCAGACGATAGAAAAGTTCTGGGTAGGTTCAGATAGGCCTGCATTATAACCCCCGGAAAGCCGTTCATATGAAAATAAAATGTACTCTAATATAACATTCAATGAAACGAGAAAAAAACAAACACATATGTATATATAATATAATAGATATACTAAGTGTATAGAAAAAATACGCACACCTTAAAGTGGTCTCTTTTTCTTTTATATATATATATATATATATATATATATAATTATTTTTAAAAATATGATTCCATCGTATGTTTGCAAATATATAGAAAAATAGAAAAGAACACGTTAGGTAAATAATCCGACGTTCACACAAACACACACATATATATACGCATTTTCAGTTGCACACACACACACACACACACACACACACACACACACACACACACACACACACACATATATATATATACCGCCACAGATTCATTGTTATGGACATTTTTGCTTCTGATCAAAACTGTTCTTTATGATATCTCTCTCTCTCTCTCTCTATATATATATATATATATATATATATATATATATATATATATATATATATTGCGATGATGGGTAAATTGTTGCCATTTTATATTTTTAATTTCGCGCATGCCCTTTGTTTTTGATTTTGGTGATTGCGAAGGTGTTTGGAGTGATAACTAATAATGCCCACGTTATGCCTCCATTCATCTTCCCACAGGGCCTCAGACTCAACACGGAGGCCTACATCACGTGCCTTGAGGAGGTAGTGCTGAATAAGATCAAGAGGGTAACTGCTGGAAGATCCTATGTCTAGCAACAGGACTCTGCACTGATCCCCATTCTCTTCGTATTCCATTAGTAAGGAGGAAGTTTAATTCGGACAGCTTCTTCCCTGGAACTGCAGCTTTGTAGAACAGACTCCCGGCAAAATTTTTTCCCAAGCAATGCAAAACCATTCCTGAATATTCCCATGAATTTCACTTCTTGCCTTTTCTTGCGCTTATACAGTACCACACAGTTACCCACTACCTTGTATTAAGTGAACAGGGGTCTTGGACAGTCGTTCCCGCCAAAAAACGGAGTGTCAAAAGGTCGGTTTTCCCTTGACACCGCTATTATTTTAACTACCTTCACTCCCCAGTTTATTGTTTTAAAAAGTTATTGTTATAATAAAACCTAATTATATGTAAGGATTTTCCAAGCGTAGCTTAGATGTGGTACAAGGCCGAAAATATGGGGCACCCAGTGAGGATCGAACTCACTACTCAGATGTAATTGTTCTAGCGAGACAAGCTTTCTAACCATTACACCACCTTGAGGTGCCCATAGTGATTTTCTAAGCCCGGCTTAGATGTGGCACAAGGCCGAAAGTATGGGGCACCCCGTGAGGATCGAACTCACTACTCAGTCGTAATTGATATAGCAAGACAAGCTTTCTAACCATTACACCATGCCGAGGTGCCCAAACCTAACTATATGTAAGTGAATTTATACATTTTATTATTGAATTTACAATAAATATATTAAACACTATTTATTTATTAGATTGTTTATTTACAAGAATAATTTTATACTTACAACATTCTGAAAACTAATACAGTTAAAACTAATAGAATGCAATATTTATCATTTACCAATTTATAAAGAAATAAATATGAAAACAAATTTTTATTTATAGACTTATAAACATTTACTAATTTATCAATATATGTGTACCAACTATGAGCAAATCCTTATCATTTACCATTTTATGAAGTTCGAATCGATTGATAATTAGCCGATGTTTTGCCCGCGATTTCAATAAAAAATATAATAAATAAATAGTGTAAATAAATAGATATTATAATAAATAATGTTTATTATTTTTGTTGTCAATTATAAAGAATAAAAAAAGGTTTAAATTCACTTTCATCTGTTTTAGTTTGATTACATTTCTAATCATTTTTTAAAAGAATAAACATTGCTGAGAAGTGAATGAAGTTAAAATAATAGCGGTGTCAAGGGAAAACAACTCTTCACTCTATACTATTCTTCTTTATCCTTATTCTGCCATCCATTCATATAAATTCGTTCAATATGCCACTCGCTGTCATCCCCGGCTTCTAATTAAGTGTACATGCATAAATATGTACTGTGAGTGTTAAATTCTTTAGACTCTCTTTTCTCATTAGGTGTCCCAGTAATTCCGACTCTTTCTGATTGTAAGTATACGTTACCTTTATTTCCTTTTTTCTCACATTTGGGTTAACCCCGTACAAGGCCCGGGAGCCAATCGAGTTGGCGAGGTATAGAGTAAGAAGCACAGATTATGCGGATATGTGAGGAAGATAACCATAAAGCCTTATACTTGAACAGGTTAAGATTGTAATGATTGAGAAAGCATCCTCTTGGGAGTCGGTCCCATAAAGCAGGGGTTCGCGAGAAGAAGCTGCTCGAGTGGAACTTCCATCTCATCAGTGGAATACGAAGGGAATGAGGGTGATTCGCTACAATGGGCGTGGCATGGCTGTGAGAGTTAAAACTGTTGGAACTGAGAAATGTAGTTCGTCTGAGCACTTTCCATCGAAGGAGTGACAGAGAAAAAAGAGAAAAAGAGAGAAAAAATGATAAAGAGAAAAAAATTTTGATTGTCTTTGTTTGGCGGCATATCGACCTTTATGAGTATTTAAAGCTAAAATTTAAATATTTTGTCCGTAATCTTATTTATTTTTGTATAGTAATTGTTTTAGCGATACAATTCTTACTAATTAACCCATTGCTGGGAGGAGAAGAGGTGGATTCATACCTTTCCCAAGGGTATTTGCGCATAAGTGATGAATCCAACTGGAATTGGAACTCGGCTCCCCGATTAACAATTTCGAACCATTATCTATTACACCACCCACGCATCCAAGCATACAGCACTTGCTATTCCCAAACGGTCATCCATCTAGGTACTGACCAGGCACGACGTTGCTTAACTTCGGTGATCGTACAGGACAACCTGTGTTTCAACGTGATGTGGCCATAAGCCTAGAGAAAAATAAGAGAGATAGAAGAAAGCGGGAAAGAGAAAAAGAAAGAAAGAAAAAGAAAGAGAGGAAGAGAGAAAAGAAGGAGTGTATGTCATGTAGGAACTTGTTCAACGCTCTGGGACCGGTCAATATAGAAAACTTGCAACCTCGGTAACATGTATCACATATCTGTCCATTGTAAAGCGAAGGTGCGTGTGCGTGTGTTTGGAGAGGGGGTGGTGGTGGTGGTGGTGGTGACACACTGAGAGCGAGTGAAAGATGTAAAGAGAGAAGGAGAGAAGTAACATCCATCGAAAAGGGTATAATCGATCTGTCTTTTATCGATCAAAGAGAAAAAGAGAGATGGATAGGGGCGTCGTGTGTGGCGTAGGGAGTTGTTTTAAATATTAGGGACCAGTCAGCAGAGAAACCCGCCTGTCAACCTCACCAACATTTGTCCTATATGAAGCCGGGTGGAGGTGCAGGGTGTGGGGTATGTAGAGAGAAAGAAATAACTGTGACAGCCCCGTAAACAATATCGTTTATCCATCGGTTATCAAGCAGAAAGAGGGTGGGAGGGCAAGATGGAGAAACGGAGGGTGGCAGTAAATGTGATGGTGATGGAGGTATTTCTTCCATAGATCAGGGGCAGGAGAACCGCCAGCCTCAATCAATCAATCAATCAATCGATTGATTGATTAATTGATTCGTTTTCTATAGCTTATCAACCCTTTGCAGGTCATTTAAAGCCAGAAAATGTTTTTAATTTTTTTCTTTTTGCATAATAATGGTTTAGTGATACAAATCTTACTAATTAACCCATAGCTGAGGGGAGCAGAGGTGGATTCATGTCTAATCAAAATTTGATAAACAAACAGGAAATTATAATATGAATATAAAGTGGGGGATCCATTTTTATACAAAATCAGTATATAAACTGACCCCTCACTTTGTAGCCACGGTAGTCTCTATACATTTATATTCCAGAAAATGTAGCGTCCTGGGTAATACGTTAAACTACATCCGCGTCCTGGGTAAGACATTAAACTACGTCCAGCAGCAAGGCCTCTGATCAGGAGGTTTTGAGGAGCATGGAACCACCTCTTAATTGCTGGTGTTTCCAGCTCCACCCTGACCCGGGGTGGTAGCACCTGTTAGGGTCACAGCTATGGGAAAATAGTTAACTATTACCAGCAATACTTTTTGAAAAAATTATTACCACTAATACAATTTTGAAGGAAATATATTACCAGAAACAGATTTTTGACAAAACAAAATATTACCAGCAATAAAAAATTTTGTCAGCATTAAATAACCCATTGAGGTTGATATGCCGTTAAACAAAATAAACCAAACCAATCTAAACCAAAGAATACATACTCTATTCATACAAATCTATCCTAAAAATGTTGTCGGCATTAAATAACTCATTGAGGTTGATATGCCGTAAAACAAAATAAACCAAACCAAACCAAACCAGAAAATGTAAATAAATCTAAAAGACATGCCTGTATATCTAATCAGTATTTGATTAATTGATTGATACATTTTCTACGGTTTATCAACCCTTTGCAGGTTATTTAAAACCAGAAAATATTTTTAGATTACAAGAATTTTTTTTTTATATAATGATGGTTTAGGGATAAAAGTTTTTTTTTAATGCATTCACTCCAAGTAAGACGATAATGCAATTGAAACGCAAGAGACTACTGGGCGTGATGTAGAATGAAAACACTTTAGTAGGAAGCGGAAATCCAATCCTAAACACCGCTACTCCTGTTCAAAAGACCAGGAAGGAGTGTGAAACTTAATCCATAGCTGGGGAGAGAAGTGGTGGATTTATACCATTCCTACGGTTATTTGCACGTAAGTGAATCTAATGGTTCCAACGGGAATTGAAACTCGGTGTTCCGATTAAAAATTCCGAGCTATCATCCACCCGCACATCCAAGGTAACAGCACCTGGGTATTCGCAAGGTACCCATCTAGGTACTGATTTTGATTTTGGTGGTCGCAAGGGAATCAGTGTTTCAACATGATATGGCCATAAGCCTTGTGAGCTATCAAGACGTAGATGATTCATTATAGACAATTTTCTTATTTTTGTCCTCTTTTTCCAGAGCATCCGTCTACATCTTCTCTCCACTCAAAGTGTTCCTCTCTTTTTTCTTCTTTCTTTATTATTTCCCACCATCTTTGGGTTACTTTACTTTTTTCTTTAGTTTTTGCTTTTATTATTTTTTGTTTTTAATTATTATTTCTTTTTTATTATTATTCTTGTTTTTATTAATTTTTATTTTTATTTTCTTTCTTTTTCTTATTCTCATATTTCTCTCCTTTTCCATTTTATACTTATTATTGTTTTTATTTTTTATCCTTTTCATTATTATTTCATTATCATTTATTATTATTTCATTATCATTTATCATTATTTTATTATTTATTATTATTTTATTATCATTTATTATTATTTCATTATCATTTATTATTATTTTTCATTTTTTAGGTTTATTATTTTTTATTTTCATTATTTTTCTTATTTTTTGTTTACTGTTATTATTAGTTTATTTTTATTAATTTTTTTCTTATTTTTATATTTTCTTATTTCTATTATTTTTTATTTTTTCTATAATATTTTATTATTTTATTTTTATTAGCTTATTTTTTATCTCTATTATTATTTTTATTTTTTAGCATTTTAGTTTTGATTCTTTTATTTAAATTTTTAATAAAATGTTTTGTAAATTATTTTTCAACCTTATTACTTTTCTATTATCTTTTCTCATTTTTATTTTTTATGTTTATTATTATTATTATTTTCTTTTCTTAATCAATTTCCCCTGATAATGTCACTAAGACTCAAGGGGTTATTGGAAGTGAAGGAGAAAACTTTAGAAAGGATTAGAAACTCAATCCGCAAATATAGGATACAAAAGATGAACCTCAACTCTTTTTCAAAAGATTGAATTATTATTTATTTCTTCTTCTTCTTCTTCTTCTTCTTCTTCTTCTTCTTTTTACTCCCTTCTTCTCACTTTCTTCATCTTCTCACTCTATTTCTTCTTCTTCTTCTTCTTCTTCTTCTTCTTCTTCTTCTTCTTCTTCTTCTCACTTTTTTCATCTTCTCACTCTATTTCTTCTTCTTCTTACTTTCTTCATCGTCTCACTCTCTTCTTCTTCTTCCTCCCTTCTTCTTCTTCTCACTCTATTTTTCTTCTTCTTCGTCTTCTTTTTTTTCCACTCCCGTCTTCTTCTTCTTCTTCTTACTCCCTTCTTCTCACTTTCTTCATCTTCTCACTCTATTTCTTCTTCTTTTTCTTCTTCTTTTTCTTCTTCTTATTCTTCTTACTTTCTTCATCGTCTCACTCTCTTCTTCTTCTTCCTCCCTCCTTCTTCTCACTCTATTTTTCTTCTTCTTCTTCGTCTTCTTTTTTTCCACTCCCGTCTTCTTCTTCTTCTTCTTCTTCTTCTTCTTACTTTCTTCATCTTCTCACTCTCTTCTTCTTCCTCCCTTCTTCTTCATCTTCTCACTCTATTTCTTCTTCTTCTTCTTCTTCTCACTTTCTTCATCTTCTCATTCTATTTCTTCTTCTTCTTCTTCTTCTTCTCACTTTTTTCATCTTCTCACTCTATTTCTTCTTCTTCTTACTTTCTTCATCGTCTCACTCTCTTCTTCTTCTTCCTCCCTTCTTCTTCTTCTCACTCTATTTTTCTTCTTCTTCGTCTTCTTTTTTTTTTTTTTCCGTCTTCTTCTTCTTCTTCTTCTTACTCCCTTCTTCTCCTCTTTCTTCATCTTCTCCTCTCTATTTCTTCTTCTTTTTTCTTCTCCTTTTCTTCTTCTTCTTCTTCTTACTTTTCTTCATCGTCTCCTCTCTTCTTCTTCTTCCTCCTCCTTCTTCTCCTCTATTTTTTTCTTCTTCTTCTTCGTCTTCTTTTTTTTCCTCCGTCTTCTTCTTCTTCTTCTTTTCTTCTTACTTTCTTCATCTTCTCACTCTCTTCTTCTTCTTCTTCTTACTTTCTTCATCTTCTCACTCTCTTCTTCTTCTTCTTCTTGGCTTTTACTCTCTCTTCCTGAATAGATATTTCCCCTATTCTAAAGACCACTTGGCTTCCTTTTTGTTTTCTTCTTCAGAATGTTACTCGTTCTCTTCAGCCTATGCCGCCTTCCACTCCACCCCACTTCATATCATAACTGTTAAGGTACTCCACGTACCCCCCAACCCGGGACCGCCGTCAGTTCGTCCGCCCATGCCTCTCTCCCTTCCGCCTACACCTGTGTAACTTTCGTGACGTAAATGGACCAAATACGAATATGTCAGGGACACTGTTTATCTGCGTAGAACTATTCTCCCCGCCGGCTTCAATTCTCCCATCTCATTTAAGTGGCTTGAAAAAAAAAAAGCGAATGATTGACAAGGATATTGCACAACACACGCACAAGGTGCTGCCAGAAGTTTGTGGTTCGGTCAAAACACACTTATGAGAAAAATATTCAGATGTTGGGAAGTGGATCAAGATGAACATTTTTCAGCACCACCACACACCCATCTTGGATAGTAATTGTTTTAGTGATACAATTCTTACTATCTAACCCATAGCTGGGAGGAGAAGAGGTGGATTCATACCTTGCCCAAGGGTATTTGCGCATAAGTGATGAATCCAACTGGGATTGGAACTCGGCTCTCCGATTAACAATTCCGAACCATTATCTATTACACCACCCACGCATCCAAATATACAGCACCTGGTATTCCCAAACGGTCATCCATCTAGGTACTGACCAGGCACGACGTTGCTTAACTTTGGTGATTGTACAGGACAATCTTCTTCTTCTTCTTCTAGCACAAATTTTCCTATTTTTAATTACAATTTTCAGTACCTGATCTTCTTACCTAAATAATATGTTTTTCAGTTCCTATTAATGTTAACTCAAAGTACAAAGTTTGAAGTGCCTGCATGTCAAATATTTCAAATAAAGATTTATATTTAATATTTTTTTTTATATTTTCAAAATCGGGTATGATATACCCATGGTTAGTAGTGGTGTAACTTTAATTGATGGGTAGTGTTCTAGGGTTAATAATTCCGAACCTATTTCTGTTACACCAAGCACGCATCCAAGCATACAACACTTGGTATTCCGAAACGGTCATCCATCTTGGTACTGACCAGGCACGACGTTGCTTAACTTTGGTGATCGTACAGGACAACCTTCTTCTTTTTCTTCTTCTTCTTCTTCTTGGCTTTTACCCTCTCTAACCCTGCCCCATTTACTGAACCGTTTATGGGTTTTTTCTCATTTTCTTACGACCCCATTTACAGTGAGGACCCCGATACAGAAACAGTAGTACGACAAGGAGGAAGTAAGATCCCGGGTCTAATTTTTTTCCTAGACTATGCCCTGTGCATTTACAAGCACAGATGTGAAGAGATGGGCACTGATAATTTAAACATTCCAGATCCAAAACTTATTGGGAAATAGCCAAAGATGCATTCCAAAAGCTAAGCAGAGTATTAAGAGACAGAAAAGTTTCGTTGGACGCAAAGGAAAGAGTGCTGAACTGTTACGTGATATGTCCTCCTGTATGGCAGCGAATGGTGGACAAGCTCCTCAAAGATGAAGAGACTTGAAGCGGCAGAAATATGGTTTGACACAAAGATGCTGAAGTTACCATGGGCCGAACATGTGAGCAACAGCGAGGTTTTGGAGAGAATGTAAACAAAAAGAAAACTTATATCTAACATCAGGAAATGGCAGTTGAAATTTCTGCGGTACGTAATGAGGAAAAGGGACTTGGAAAATCTAATACTCACAGTACAGATTGAGGGAATAAAGAACAGAGGAAAGCAGCGCGTAACATACTTGACGGGTTTGACGGGATGGCAGACCAGGGTTTGGGAGAAATAATAAAAAGAACTACAGCCGATAGGAAGATGTGGAGGGCCATGATCGCCTACGTGCTGAAAGGGACATGGCACATAAAAGAAAAAAAATACCATATCCCAAACGAATCTACTAACAGAAGACAACAAGCCTGCTTCCCCCACCCCGAGTCCAATGTGCTGACGATGAGGTGGTGTATGCCAATGACATAGATTGAAATAATAATGATCTTCAACGGAAAAAAAATCAACATCTTCTACCAAGCGTTCCAAGAAATAGATAATCCTTTCCAAAACAGAAACTACGATATGGAATTGTAAGGGAAGCATTGATGGCACGTACCCTGAATCCATCATAAACACTCAGGATATGGAATTAGTAAATGTCAAACACCTTGAATACCTTAGTGTATAGATCAGTTATAACAAATTTTAGATAAGGAAATTTAACACAGAATAGGCTGAGCTAGGTTTAGTTTCCCACAATACCGCAAATTGCTACAAAACCAAAACATTAGCTCACGTCATGTTCTTAAATAGACCCGTCAGATCGAGAGTTTCACATGGATCTCCTGCTTGGCACCAAAACTATTTAGAAATATCTAAACTGTCACTTGTATACAACTGCTTTCTAAGGTCAATGGTTAAAAATCAAGATTTCGACGGTCCACACTACTTTAAATAAAAGTTATGGAGAAAACCTCCATCAATACTGGAAAGAGCTATAACAGCTACTGGCATTGAGAAACCTATTTTCCTGAAAAAATTTTCTAAGGGAAAATTTTTATAAATTTCAACCGATAACAGTACTGGCTGCTCGGTCAATGATTACTGTTATGTCCTTACGCATCCCCAAAATCCATAATCTCACACATTTTGCACTTAGTGGCCCATCTCTCTTTCCCATCTCTTTAATAGTATAACATACTAACTCCCTCTTTCTCTTTAAATATGTAATAGTAGACGCTGACTACAAAAAATAACTGGACTGGACCATAGCTAAAATTAGATTCTCATACATGTGAGGACTCACGTGACCAAGTATGAATATTGAGCCGGAAAAGATCGGTAGAAGTTAGTTGGGTGACGAAGTTCGAAGGAGTCGGACCATCCAATAAATTGTCATGCGAATGGATTCTCCGAACTGAAGAGAAAGAATGAAGTCCCCAACTCACATAAATTCCAAGCACAGAATCAAGGGGAAACAAATCTTGCGCGAATAATTCCTTTTTCACTTGTTGCAGTCAAGCAAGAGAGATCACACGATAAAAGACGAACTCCAGTTCAACTCAACGCACTATGCTGCTTACATTAAATGCAAAGGTGAATAATGAAACGTGACAGTCACCTAAGAAAGGTATATGTGACACACTTAATTGGACGAAAGATCCGAACAATGAATTCTGAACCGCTGAATATATGACTTATTGTTATATACCGTACCTATGAACACTAAGGTGTATGTCCCAATCATCAGAAATACGATGCATACTATTGTAAGTTTGGGTAATATACTAAGCTGGCAGCATGAGCTATCAGCGTGGAAAGCTCTTGCCGTGTCGAACTCTCTGACTTTGGGCAAAGAGTAACCCGGATGAAGCTATGCCGAAGAGCAGAGTCTCGTCCGGGGAGGTAGACAGATACACGACCTCGCGTATGCGTGATCTACGGGTAATTTTTGTCTAAGCCCACGGGCTCGTATTTCCCCACATTAAATTTGGCCTTGTGTCACATCCTGCCTCGTGGGGAGGCAGATAAATATCGTAATATGCTGTCTATGCAGTCCATCACTAGCAGTGGTTTACCTACTTCATGCCGCTGGCGAGTATTGTATTTTGTTGATGTTATAAAGATTACCATTTCATTTCCAACCTCCGTTTTGGTTATTCCTCATTCAGTAACACTTTCTAGGTTACAAAAGCCCAAAATACAAATTACAAATCAGGGATACGAAAATTATACATAGATAAATAGAAAATAAAATAAATAAACAATAAATAGATAGATAGAAAAATAGATAGATAGATAGTGTTATATACCGTACCTATGAATACTAAAACACTAATGGGTATGTTCCAATCCTCATAAATACGTTGCACACTATTGTAAGTGGCGGGTAATATGCTGTCTAAGTAGTCCACCACTAGCAGTGGTTTACCTACTTCACGCCGCTGACGATTAATGTATTTTGTTGATGTTATAAAGATTACCATTTCATATCTAATGCCTGCTTTGGTTATTCCTCATTCAGGTTACAACAAGCCCAAAATACAAATTACAGATCGGGGATACAAAAATCATACATAGATAAATAGAAAATAAAATAAATAGATAGATAGATAGATAGATAGATAGATAGATAGTGTTATATACCGTACCTATGAACACTAATGGGTATGTCCCAATCCTCATAAATACGTTGCACACTATTATAAGTGGGGGTAATATGCTGTCTAAGTTGTCCATCACTAGCAGTGGTTTACCTACTTCACGACGCTGGCGAGTATTGTATTTTGTTGATGTTATAAAGATTACCATTTCATTTCCAACCACCATTTTGGTTATTCCTCATTTAGTAACTATTTCTAGGTTACAGCACTTATACAACGCCAAATCTCCATAACTGAATATAAGACTTATACAGAACCGAATCTTTGCAACCGATTAACAAACACTACATTGTAGAAAGAAGAATCGATCAAAGGACACGACTACTCGAGCAAATAAACTGAGTTGAAAGTGAAAGTGACAAAGAGAAACATAAGAGAGAGAGAGAGAGAGAGAGAGAGAGAGAGAGAGAAGGGGAATGAGAAAACCTTACCATATTTCAGAAGAAAGACCGGAGTTAAGCTTTTTGTTTTAACTTTTAACCTCAGAATATAACGCATACATCTTTCCACACAGAACTGTATAGCACACATTTTTCCACACATTCTCTTGCCTAAATATTTTAATGTATTGTCTAGTTGTAATTAAATCTTGTTAATTTGTATATTGGCGCTTGTCTTTCATTACTGTTGGTCATCGTTCTGAATTCGTCTATTTGACTCCGTGTAGAATCCGTCCACTATGGAGTGGAAAACCTGGCGTCTTTTAGACCAGTGATCGCTAACCGGTGGTCCACGGACCACTGGTGATCCGTGCAAAATTTTTGTTAGTCCGTGGAAAAATTGGGACATTATTTCAATTTTTATGAAGCTTAAGATTCAAAAATGCCGAGTAACAAAACTTATTATGGCTGGCATATATGTTCAAGACCTTATGTAATCTTGAAATAAACACGAGTACACAAGGACACAAATGTGACATCATGCAATCATAGTATAAACTAATATGAGTTGCAAACTTCAAGTTTTCAATTTGTTTTATTTAAATAATTACACTATAACTTTGTTACC